AAAGCGAGATACTAGTATGAAACACAAACCGGATCATTTTATTGGGGGACGCCTGTTGGATTTATCTTCTTAACTGAAAGTTGCATTAAGACCTTACCCTGCCAGTAATTCCACAGCGTTTGAAATGATTTATGATTCTGGATGGTAGGTTTCGAAATATTTATGTTGATATCTTCATGGAGGTAGCCAGGAAAAAACCCAAACACCTTACAGTTAAGGTGCACGTTCCACACAGAGGACTTTGTAACAGAACTTATTCATACTGTATAATTTGTTAAATTTCTTCATTCACAAAGAGGGGGCACGGGTGGCCCAGTCGTCTAAGGCGCCGCGATTCGCTGCGCAGAGTTGCGTCCCCTGGACACGCCAGAAACCTATGATTGTGGGTTCGAATCCCGGTTCACCCCGATTATTTTTCTAGGTTTGTCAGCACCATACCCGTGCTCGTGGGTTTCACCGAAGAGGTAAACGTCGGAGACCTGCATCACTTCGGGCTTCCTCCCACATTAAGCTGACACGCCATGATATAACTGGAATACTGTTAAAAGCGGCGTTAAACCCAACTCACTCACTCACTCTTTCACAACTACCCGAAGGCATCCCTGATGAGTCACAGTTACAAATTGGTACTTTAATCTCATCACAAGTGTATGCAAGGATTATTCAGCACGTAGGAGATTGTTGGGTGAACAGTTTAGAAGGACATAAACTGCAATTAATAAACTTTATAATCATTTCTCTCGAAATTGCCATTGGGTCCCTATTCTACTTCATCTGCATGTTTGATTTAGCTTATGGGGAAGATGTGTTTGGTTGAGGCTTAGACTGTGAGAAAACGTGTTTAAATGGAACAGTATTCCGGTTAAGATTCAAACGCTTTCCTAAACATGTTTAGGTCTAAACATGTCTTGTATGTGTTTACATTCCTAACTCAGTTTTACAGTGTAGCTGGGGCGGTCGGGTAGCCTAGTGGTTAAAGCGTTCGCTCGTCACGCCGAAGACCCGGGTTCGATTCCCGACATGGCCACAACAATGTCTGAAGCCCATTTCTGGTGTTCCCCGCCGTGATATTGCTGGAATATTGCTAAAAGCGGCGTAAAACCATACTCACTCACTCACTCACTACAGTGTAGCTGGGTGGCGGTCAGCCTGGTGGTTTGCACGTGACGCGGTAGTAGAAACATAATTGTGGCGAACCGGGATTCGAACCAACAATCATAGGTTTCTGGCGTGTCCAGGGGACGCAACTCTGCACAGCGAATCGCGGCGCCTTAGACGACTGGGCCACCCGTGCCCCCGTAAATTACTTGAGGTCTTTTAGTTGCCCGGTAACGCAATGTTGCCAGTAATGACATGACATTAAAATGATTTATGACTTACAATAATTGAGATCGATTACAGATGGGCTTTTCCAAGAGAGCTATTTTAATGTCCAGCTCACGTGTTGTGTTACCTACCAAAAGGTCATGGCGATCCAGTAGTGCCCCAATGCGTGCTTTTGTCATTCTGTAAGGGCTGTAGTGCGCATAGATAGATCATGTTCCATGGTAGCATTTAACTGTGAATGGGGAGTACCTGACCCCAGGACAGAGTGAAATATGATTTAACTGCTGTGGATGGCTCAGATGAACTCAATAATACTGTTATGTCGTACGTCGTTCCGGTGAGTGAATGATGTGGGTTTAAAAAGCGCTTTGAGCAGTATTTCATATCTATCGTGGCGTGTCAGCTTGATGTGGGAGAACAGCCCCGGAATAATGAGGAGTTTGTACTCTACTCAGTCTACTTTGTAGAAACCCACGAGCAAGGGGTATCGTGCTAACAAACATAAAAACATAATCAGATTCAGACTTGGATTCGAACCAACGATCATAGGTAGGTTCCTGGCACGATTAACTGAGTGAGTGAGTGAGTGAATGAATGAGTGAGTGAGTGAGTTGGGTTTAACGCCGCTTTTAACAGTATTCCAGTTATATCGCGGCGTGTCAGCTTAATGTGGGAGGAAAGCCCGAAGTGACGCAGGTCCCAGACGTTTACCACTTCGGTGAAACCTACGAGCACGGATATGGTGCTGACAAACCTAGAAACATAATCGGGGTGAACCGGGATTCGAACCCACAATCATAGGTTTCTGACGTGCGTAAGTGAGTAAGTGATTTATTGAGTATGTCAATATTCCAGTAATATAAAGGTGGGGGACACCAGATTTGGGCTTCACACAGTGTACCCATGTCGGGAATCGAACCCGGATCTTTGGCGTGACGAGCGAACGCTTTAACCACTAGGCTACCCGACCGCCCGGCACAACGAAGTGCGGCACCGAAGGCGAGTGGACGAGAGGTTTTGTTTGTTGATTTGTTGCATAAACTATAAATCTAGCTAAATATCATTTTTGAAATCGATTCCTCATACCATTTTGACTACCATTTTTCATCTAACATTAAACTGCGTAGAATGATGCTCATGATATTGACCACATGGTAGTCTTGTTCAGGTTATATTATATATTATTTACAGACCGATATATACACAAAGATTAAGCACATCCTAATATATATTTCATTATTGTTTGGTCCCAATACTTTTAACAGTCATGAAAGATATAATAACGGGAAGAATTATGTTTTCTCGAGATGATGTAATCAGTCATGCGTGAGGAAAGCTCACGTGCCATGCATAATATGCCCGTGCAGCATGCTACCCTTGAGTATCTCTAAAAAACAGTGTATCCAAACGTTAAAACTGCTTTCTTAAGCTCGATTTTAAACAGTTATTCCATGACATTGTGTGACCATGGCACGAAGGCGATTATCAAACGCCACAAGATGGCTAATAATCGGCATGCATAACGCAGGAATGTCTTGTAATGCCATTGGTCGGAATTTGGTGTATCATCACACTATGGTAAGCCGTTTAGTCGAGAAACATGCTCAGACCTAGGCCTGTGATATACAGAACCGTCCCAGATCCGGAGGACCTCCTGTGACGACACATAGCGAAGACAGGGACCTTTTGCCTCTCATACGCCGAGAACCCTTTTTAACAAGTACATGTCTAAAACAGCTGTGGTTGTCCAATCGTCGTATCAGCACCAGAACCGTCAGGACTAAGGGCTAGACTAGTAATAAAGCGTTCCTTGTTGGGAGATCACCACAAAGCTGCTCGTTTACCATGGTATATTGCTCGACAGAAGTGGAATCTGAGAACTTGGAGACGGATCCATTGGTCAGACGAAAGTCGCTTTCTGCTCTACGTCACTGATGGAAGAGCGAGAGTTTGGAGGCACCGGAACACGGCCTACACCCCCAGGAACATCAAACCGACTCTTGCATACGGCGGGGGCTCGGTAATGGTTTGAGGATGTATCTCTCATGATTGCAGGTTGGATTTGGTCACCATAAGGGGCAACTTTACAGGGGCTCAGTACATCTGGGACGTTTTGAGACCAGTCGTCTTTCCTCATTTTGACAACCACCCTCTTGCTACTCGACATCAGAACATGTATGGCAATGCCAGGCCTCATCGTTCGCATGCAGTCGTGGATAACATGAGGGCCAATAACAACTATAACCTTGCTCTAATGAGCCCAGATTTGAACCCCCTTGAACATGTTTGGGATATTCAGGGGCTGCGCATACAGGCACGAGTTCCTCCTGTACAAGATTTACGCCAATTGGACCGATCAACAGATCCAACTTGAGGCATGAGACGCAGGGTGGAATTCGTCATCCGGGCACGTGGCGGTTATACCCGCTACTAATCTATTTCACGTGTCAGAAAGTAGAGACTTTAAGGAAAATTTTCACATGAAACATCAAACGTAACTCGTTTACTTAGTCCTGCAGCTCCATACTTTATTTAGGTATTGTCTAAGGTCAAAAACGGTACCTGTGTTACCATGATGTTTTTTCAGTAAATATTAATCAAAACTCTCCAATATATTTGTTCTTTATTTGTTCTCAAATGTGTGTTCTAGCCGATGACATTGGTATCGCCCAGCTCCTGTGGTCAGTAATCCCATGCCATGATTTTTGCCATTTGTCATGATTCAGAAATAGCGGTGTGCTTAACATTTTTCTTTGTGTATATTTAGAGAATAGCCCGAGTCTAACGTTTTAGTTTTACACTTTTTCGGAGATAAATACATTCGGTATATTTTGATCTTAGTATCACCAATAAAGGTTAATGTTTAGACGAAAGCTAGATTCATCATATATAGGTTTAATATCGACACATCGACACTCTCTTGTCGAACATATGGGTTTACGATGCAAGTGTCCTAACAGTAAGAGGAACCTCACACAAAAATTTGGAATTTCGTCACAAACGTGAGGCATACCCAGACAAAAGATTTCATATGCAACGAAGTTTTCTTTGAACCCAGGTTGTAACGAAACATAAATATAAAACTCATCGAAACGTCAATACTGTTATTCTTATCAAAAGTCACATGGAGAATATGGCTCCAACACTTTTGAAATCAAGCGTTCTCCTGTTATACAAACGAACGTTAAACCATTGAGCTTAAGTATTGCAGTGTTGTCCCTGTTCACTAGTGAGTGAGTGAGTATGGTTTTACGCCGCTTTTAGCAATATTCTAGCAATATCACGGTGGGGGACACCACAAATGGGCTTCACACATTGTACCCATGTCGGGAATCGAACCCGGGTCTTCGGCGTGACGAGCGAACGCTTTAACCACTAGGCTACCCGACCGCCCCCCTCCCCCAACCCCCCTTCCCCCCACCCCCTGTTCACTCACGTCTGTGTATGTACCCGATATACTTTAGCGGTTGGTTACTCTTGTTACCACAAACACACTATTCAATGCATTTTCTTTGTGAGATTACAAAAAAAACTTTCAATGGACACCTTCTTAAAGCACTTGTTCGTGTAGAACTGAAAACAGATTGTTGAACACAAAGGTCTCTTCTTTATGTATGTTTGTATGACTTGAATGATATATGACTTCAAGCATTTTCTGGTTCAGGTGTATGTTGCAAAATTGCAGACCACAGCAACCATTGTCGGGCAATACCTCAAGACATGTGTGTCTGATCTGGAGCTCTTAAATATGGTGGGTCCATTCGAGGCATCTTATCTTTAACTTAAGGTTGATCCATGTCACAGAATGTTTGGATGTTGGGTGATGGTGCGTCTGTTGTTACTGACGATGCTACTGACGTGTGTCGATAGCCCAGGTACGTAAACACATTAGATATTATCATTAGTTGAATGAATGTCACACGCTGTTTGTATGTTGGCTGAAGAAGCGCCTGTTGTCACTGACGATGGAGCCGTGGGTCGATATCTAGGGTATGTATAAACACTGTAGATGTTCTCATTATGTATATGTAAAGAAAGTATGCACGGTGACCCATGTTTGATGGTAGTTAAAATGAAAGAAAAATCAGAAATTGATATTCTATTGCGATACGGATATCTCAGTTGTATGTTTGACAAGTGTGTTGTGTTTCGGCGACTATTTTCAGCCTTGAAACGTTTTGATACCATTTGTAACTGCTCGGTCAAACCCAATTTCCGAGTGTATACTTTCGTTTGCCGGATAGTTTATGTAACCAATGCTCGGTGCACGGCCAAGGTGTGTATGTTGTTACTGACAGTGCTGTCTGGTGTCGATGTCCCCGGAATGTTTCCTTACTTTATATGGTACACTCGTTTTATGTGTATATAAGACAATGCTCGGTGCACGACCAAGGTGTGTATGATGTTACTGACAGTGCTGTCTGGTGTCGATGTTCCAGGAATGTTTCCTTACTTTATATGGTACACTCGTTTTATGTGTATATACGTCAATGCTCGGTGCACGGCCAAGGTGTGTATGATGTTACTGACAGTGCTGTCTGGTGTCGATGTCCCCGGAATGTGTCCTTACTTTATATGGTACACTCGTTTTATGTGTATATAAGACAATGCTCGGTGCACGACCAAGGTGTATATGCTGTTATTGTAACCCTGATACTATGCATCAACACACGCCCACACTGTGCAATATCAGTGCAATTATATCTGTAGCGTTAGTAATATATCTGGGGGCACGGGTGGCCCAGTCGTCTAAGGCGCCGCGATTCGCTGTGCAGAGTTGCGTCCCTTGGACACCCCAGAAACCTATGATTGTGGGTTCGAATCCCGGTTCGCCCCGATTATGTTTCTAGGTTTGTCTGCACTATACCCGTGCTCGTGGGTTTCACCGAAGTGGTAAACCTGCATCACTTCGGGCTTTCCTCCCACATTAAGCTGACACGCCGTGATATAACTGGAATACTGTTAAAAGCGGCGTTAAACCCAACTCACTCACTCACTAGTAATTTATCTTTTCATCACAGGAACAACACCCGCTTTACACCTCCACACGGACAAGCAGGTTGAGCTAGGACAGCCGTCCAGGATCAACTGTGCGTCAGACAGACCTTTCATCGAGAAGGATTTGATAACGATAAGAGCACCGTCGGGACATAGCGTGTTTCACTGTGATCCATCCAAACCATGTCTTGTCTCTGATGACTATTACTACCTTTACTACAAACTCAAATCAACATTCGTTTTGGGTGTTAACAGAACGACAATGGAACACAACGGAACTTGGACGTGTCAGCTCAATGAGATTAGTGCCACAGGCTTGCTTATAGTGTCTAACGCCAATGGTACGTGATACATATATTCCTATCATGAAATACATTAAGTAGCAACTTCGGTGGTTGGTGTGGGCGTGGCAGACATGGGGATAAAGTGTCGGCCCTTCCAGCCGAAGACATGGCTCCCCTCGTTGATACAATGTATGAATGTATGAAACCTCTTGTACGTGTCCCTTGCTGTTGTCGACCCGTGAAGATCCGGGGTAGAATAGGCCTTCAGCAACCCATGCTTGCCTTAAAAGGCGACTATGCTTGTCGTAAACGGCGACTAACGGGATCGGGTGGTCGGGCTCGCTGACTTGGTTGATGCATGTCATTGGTCTCAATTGCGTGGATCGATGCTCATGATGTCAATCACTGGATTGTCTGGTCCGGACTCGATTATTTACAGACCGCCGTGATATAGCTGGAATATTGCTGAGTGCGGCGGTAACCATCAAACCAACCAACCAACCAACCTTGCTGTTGTCATGGCTGAAATGATGCTGAAACCAAACAGATGTATTATTTGAAGGATGGAGTTTGTATGTTTGTTTTTTATCGCCGTACTCAACAATATTTCGCCAAATGACGACAACCAGTGATTGATATTATGAGCAATGATCCACAATGTCGGGGTACGATGACACGCAACCAAGTCACCCTTGACCCCCGATCCATCACATCGTCTTGTACTAAAAGCATATACGTTAATGAGTCCCCATGGGGTAAAACGGATGAGGAAGACCTCAAATGTTATTGACCAGGGAAGATAATTATTTATATTTATGTTGCGTCGTATTGGTAAAGATCCCAAGAACAGTATAGACCGCCCATTTTTTACATATTTGTTTAGTTGAGATAAAAACTTTGAATCGAATTTCCATCTGCAGCAAAAGTAAATACTGGGCTTTCGTAATGTTAATATTTGAGCTCTTTAACTTTGAAGGCAGCATATTTTATCATGGTGTGTCACGTGACTAAAATGAATCTGTCCTAAAATTCGAATCAGACAAGCAGAACACTCATCGTTTATTATTTGCTTTGTTGAAATCAATAATTTACAGCAGTGGATGTTTTTAGAACTTTAGAAACGTCGGAATTTGATAATATCACCGCTACAGTGTAATTCGTAAGTAAATATATATAGTTACTGTTACTTCCTTATAGTACCAATACAAAAAATACAGTAATTGTTGATCAGTGCTTAATTGGGTCACTTAATCTTTAGATTAATCTGAGCAGTTGTCTTCGCCTGATTAGCGTTTTTGGCTATTACAGAAATGACGTCAAGCCTCACCACGGATTCTATCGTTGGTTTGACATCCACTACAGCAACTGGTTAGCAACTAGTACAGAAACTAGTACTTGTTTTCCTATCATGAAATACAATTATTAGCAGCTGCCTGCCTATGGGTGGCTGAGGGGTGTATGACAGATATTGGGATAAAGTGTCGGCCCTTCCTGCCGGGGGATAAAGTGTCGGCCCTTCCTACCGGCGGATAAAGTGTCGGCCCTTCCTACTGGGGGACAAAGTGTCGGCCCTTCCTACTGGGGGATAAAGTGTCGGCCCTTCCTGTCGGGGGATAAAGTGTCGGCCCTTCCTGCCGGGGGATAAAGTGTCGGTCCTTCCTGCCGGGGGACAAAGTATCAACCCTTCCTGCCGGGGGAAAAAGTGTCGGCCCTTCCTACTGGGGGATAAAGTGTCGGCCCTTCCTGCCGGGGGGATAAAGTGTCGGTCCTTCCTGCCGGGGGACAAAGTATCAACCCTTCCTACTGGGGGACAAAGTGTCGGCCCTTCCTACTGGGGGATAAAGTGTCGGCCCTTCCTGCCGGGGGGATAAAGTGTCGGCCCTTCCTGCCGGGGGACAAAGTATCAACCCTTCCTGCCGGGGGAAAAAGTGTCGGCCCTTCCTGCCGGGGGGATAAAGTGTCGGCCCTTCCTGCCGGGGGACAAAGTATCAACCCTTCCTGCCGGGGGAAAAAGTGTCGGCCCATCCTGTCGGGGGATAAAGTGTCGGTCCTTCCTGCCGGGGGACAAAGTATCAACCCTTCCTGCCGGGGGAAAAAGTGTCGGCCCATCCTGTCGGGGGATAAAGTGTCGGCCCTTCCTGCCGGGGGATAAAGTGTCGGTCCTTCCTGCCGGGGGATAAAGTATCAACCCTTCATGCCGGGGGATAAAGTGTCGGCCCATCCTGTCGGGGGATAAAGTGTCGGCCTTCCTGCCGGGGGATAAAGTGTCGGTCCTTCCTGCCGGGGGATAAAGTGTCGGCCCATCCTGCCGGGGGATAAAGTGTCGGTCCTTCCTGCGGGGGATAAAGTATCAACCCTTCATGCCGGGGGATAAAGTGTCGGCCCATCCTGTCGGGGGATAAAGTGTCGGCCCTTCCTGCTGGGGGATAAAGTATCAACCCTTCCTGCCTGGGGATAAAGTGTCGGCCCATCCTGCCGGGGGATAAAGTGTCGGCCCTTCCTGCCGGGGGGATAAAGTGTCGGCCCTTCCTACTGGGGGATAAAGTGTCGGCCCTTCCTACTGGGGGATAAAGTGTCGGCCCTTTCTACTGGGGGACAAAGTGTCGGCCCTTTCTACTGGGGGATAAAGTGTCGGCCCTTCCTGCCGGGGGATAAAGTGTCGGCCCTTCCTACTGGGGGGACAAAGTGTCGGCCCTTCCTACTGGGTGATAAAGTGTCGGCCCTTCCTGCCGGGGGATAAAGTGTCGGCCCTTCCTATCGGCGGATAAAGTGTCGGCCCTTCATGTCGGGGGATAAAGTGTCGGCCCTTCCTAAAGGCGGATAAAGTATCAATCCTTCCTGCCGGGGGACAAAGTATTGGCCCTTTCTGTCGGGGGATAAAGTGTCGGCCCTTCCTGCCGGGGGATAAAGTGTCGGCCCTTCCTGCCGGGGAATAAAGTGTCGGCCCTTCCTGCCGGGGATAAAGTGTCGGCCCTTCCTGCCGGGGGATAAAGTGTCGGCCCATCCTGTCGGGGGACAAAGTGTCGGCCCTTCCTGCCGGGGGATAAATTGTTGTCCCTTCCTGCCGGGGGATAAAGTGTCGGCCCATCCTGCCGGGGTACAAAGTGTCGGCCCTTTCTGTCGGGGGATAAAGTGTGACCCTTCCTACATAACATTTTGTATCAGGAAATACTGGACCTTTGGGAGCCGGTCTTCATTAGGGAATGCTGCTGAAATGCATGACAGGCTAAGAATAAAAGGTTCAGATCCCAGTTGTTGTAGAACGTATCCTTGTATACTTATCCTCTGTTATAAAACAATCGTTGCATGGATCCGTGGATATCCGGGGCAGTATAGGTCTTCAGCAACCCATGCAAAAAGGCGACTATGCTTGTCGTAAGAGGCGACTAACGGGATCAGGGGGTTAAGCCTCGCTGACTCGGTTGATGCATGTCATCGTATCCCAACTGCGTGGATCAATGCTCATGATGTCAATTACTGGAATGTCTGGTCCAGACTCGATGATTTGCAGACCGCCGTCATATAGCTGGAATAACGAAAAATCGTTTAGCGCATTCAGGGGATATCGGGTCAAGTTGAGACACACACCAACACACACACACGAGTATATTATGGCGCTGGCAGGCAAGGATCTTAGCGGCGATAGAAGACTGTCAGAGGATTTCCATAAAAAGACCTAATGCTTTAACATTGTCTCATCACGTTGGAGACCTTACTTCTATTCCCAACGGGGTGGTCGGATAGCCAAGTGGTTAAAGCGTTCGCTCGTCACACCGATGACCCGTGTTCGATTCCTCACATGGCTGCAATGTGTGAAGCCCATTTCAGGTGTCCCCCGCCGTGATATTGCTGGAATATTGCAAAAAGCAGCGTAAAACAATACTCACTCACTCTATTCCCAACATAAGAAGCACGTTACTAGCGGTATGTATTAACTCACGTCAGCATGATTCATGCAAACGCCGGTGACAGGAACACTTTCGGTGAGCCTTGAATGATCACGGTGTTTTATTCGATCATGAGGTGAGGTGAAATGGGGTTTAACGCCGCGTCCAAGATTATTGCACTTATATAGCGACGTGCATGTATGTGTGTGTGTTTGTGTTACTGCTTGTACTAGTCCGAACTGATGCCGATTTATAGTGCTAGCTCACTGAGATACCATGCCGCAGTTTAACATGAATACCCCACTCAGACACAGTATACTGACTCCGAGCCGACCAGTCCTTGTTTTAGCCCCTTCATGCCGAGCGCCAGACAGGGTAACAACAAGTACCATCTTTTAACGTCTTTTGGTATGACGCGGTCGGAGATCGAACCCCGGACCTTTCGCTCTCCACTAGACCACGGGCGCTCTACCACTAGACCACGGAGGCGGTCTATTCGATCATGAACATCGTCACATTATGCACAAGTGTATGGACGAACAGCATGAAAAATGCAACTGTTATATGTTTTCTTAGAATTATAAATTTAAAGCGACAAAACATTTTCCATAATCATAAAAATGTTAAGCTTATCTAAGTATCTGACAAGAACAATTCTAATTGCATTTTTTCACTTTCAGGAAGCTGTGGTAGTCAAGCCGGATCTGTTTATGTGAAGGTGTTCCTTGTGTATATCATTCACATTAATACCTCACACAACCGCTGAGGTGGGCACAGGATATAGAATGAAACATCTTTACCAAAGGTGCCCTGATTACACAAGGCCATTTAGAAAGAGGTCAAATGTAACACATGTTATATTTGGGATAACACTGGTAGTCCGACAACTGGTAGTCTTGATCACGTACTTTGAGTACCCCTCTGACAAGCGTAAATGACACGGCTCCCATGGCCGAAAGCTATGAATACATAATGCCATTTAGAAAGTGGTCAAATGTAACAAATGTTATATTTGGGATAACTCTTTCCCTGATAACATGCATGAAATTGTTTCAACAAATATGTCTGAACCTATCTGTATCACACTGTCCCTACTGCGAGACTCCACTGGGATTACCGCGGTTGCAATACAAGAATGAGATTGGGGAAGACTTGGTGTATTGGAACTAAACAACGTTACAAATGAATGTCATATTACTCACCATGTTGAAGACGTCCCCAAATATGTAGTGTGACAAACATAAATCATCCTTAGCACATTGTACTAATTATTTGAAGGTGTGTCTTGTATATATCCTTTATATGAAAGTTGCATTGATCATATTGTACTAATTATTTGAAGGTGTTTCTTGTATATATCCTTTTAATTGAAAGTCGCATTGATCATATTGTACTAATTATTTGAAGTTGTTTCCTATATAGATCCCTTACATTGAAAGTCGCATTGATCATATTGTACTAATTATTTGAAGATGTTTCTTGTATATATCCTTTTAATTGAAAGTCGCATTGATCATATTGTACTAATTATTTGAAGGTGTGTCTTGTATATATCCTTTACATTGAAAGTTGCATTGATCATATTGTACTAATTATTTGAATGTGTGTCTTGTATATATCCTTTACATTGAAAGTCGCATTGATCATATTGTACTAATTATTTGAAGGTGTGTCTTGTATATATCCTTTACATTGAAAGTTGCATTGACCATATTGTATTAATTATTTGAAGTTGTTTCCTATATAAATCTTTACATTGAAAGTCGCATTGACCATATTGTACTAATTATTTGAAGGTGTGTCTTGTATATATCCTTTACACTGAAAGTTGGATTAAGACCTCACACTCCCGCCGGGGCGAGTACGAAAAGAAAGATGAAATGTCTCAGCTACAAAGTGTCCTGATTACATGGATGAATTGGTTAAAACTGTCTGTGACACACATTCACCACTTCAAGACACAACTGATTTTTGTTGTTGTTTTTGTTTAACGCCGCAATCAGCAATATGTCAGTTATATAACGGCGGTCTGTAAATAATGTATGCTAAACCAGGCAATTCAGTGATTGATATCATGAGTTTCTATCCACGCAATTGGGATACGATGACATGCATCTATGAGATAGTGACATTGTAATGTCTATTTGTGTGCTAAACGGCCAAACTAAAGGCATGTTATGCTGAAACCAGTTTCTGTCCGTGAGATCCAGTGTTTAACGTCGCGTCCTAGATTATTGCACTTATATAGCGACGTGCATGCACGTATATGTCTGTGTGTGTGTGTGGCTGCTTGTACTAGTCCGGACTGATGCCGATTTATAGTGCTAGCTCACTGAGATACCTTGCCGCAGTTTAACATGAATACCCCACTCAGACACAGTATACTGACTCCGAGCCGACCAGTCCTTGTTTTAGCCCCTTAATGCCGAGCGCCAGACAGGGTAACAACAAGAACCATCTTTTAACGTCTTTTGGTATGACGCGGTTTTGGATCGAACCCCGGACCTTCCGCTCTCCAGGCGGACGCTCTACCATTAGACCACGGAGGCGGTCAGATCCAGTGTGAAAGACTCGTTCTAGACCATTTCCTGAATGATTATAGAATAGTATATGTATCTATGCCATGCCTATCTGCTTGTAAATGCAGTGTCTGTTTCTGCTGGTTCTATACAAATAGTACCAATCATATTCATGTATTCAATATTGTCAGGAAGGAGATATTTTTCAGATGTGTGGGTGTTGTTGAGCTTTCCCATTGGTTGAAGACGAAGGTATAGAATACTACAATGTACATATGTATTGCCAATGTTCAAAAGTATCGGTCTATTTTCATGTTTTAAGATATACATGACGTACTCTGGTAAACTATGACGACTTGTAACCATCAAACTTCTTATGCTGCAGTGACTGTAGGACCATCCGGTTAGCAACATGTAGAGAAAATCAAGACTTGTTGTTACGATGCTAGATCATGAAAACTATATTCATGTTGCCCTACTTAATGGCTGGCACTCAATGACAAGAATCCTGTTACAGTAAACTACGGTTATAACGAACACGCTTATAACGAACTGACAGATATAACGAACTAACTTTTTAGTCCCGACTATTTGCTGTAGTTATGCTGTGTATATGCTTATAACGAACTACGGTTATAACGAACTAAAAATAGTAGTCCCTTTGAGTTCGTTATAACCGTAGTTTCCTGTATATGCAGTTTCATAGATGAATCGTTGTGTCGTTAAAAACATATCTAGATAGTCATGGTTGGTTGGTTGGTTTCTTGTTTAACGCCGCACTCAGCAATATTCCAGCTATATGACGGCGGTCTGTAAATAATCGAGTCTGGACCAGACAATCCAGTGATTGATATCATGAGCATCGATCCAGGCAATTGGGATCAATGACATGCATCAACCAAGTCAGCGAGCCTGATCACCCGATCCCGTTAGTCGCCTTTTACGAAAGCATAGTCACCTTTTACGACAAGCATAGTCACCTTTTACGGGAAGCAAGGGTTGCGGAAGACCTATTCTATCCCGGATTTTCACGGGTAGATAGACATGGAAAATAAGAAAATCATCTACGGAGATGATACTCATCTTTGGTACTTTAATACTTTGGTAGTTACATCTACGTAAATAATATTTACATCTACCTAGGTGATACTTTATTTAGCCAGACGTGATATAAAACACATGCGGAACTATTGCAGATTACTCGAAAATGTACCGTTACGGAAGTCGATTATTCGACAGTAGATGACATTTTCTTCTACGTAGATTATAATATCGAATACGTCGATGAAAGTATCTTTCACGAAGATATGTTTCGTTGTGGTTTAACACCGCACTCAACAATATTCAAGATATATGACGGCGGTGTGTAAACAATCGAGACTGGACCAGATAATCCAGTGATTGACATCATGAGCATCGATCCACGCAACTGGGATACGATGACATGCATCAACCAAGTCAGCGAGCCTGACCACCCGATCCCTTTAGTCGCCTTTCACGACAAGTAAAGTCGCCTTTTACGGCAAGCATGGGTTGCTGAAGACCTATTCTAATCCGGATCTTCACAGGTATTGTTCCCTACGGTAAACACTTTCTATAAGACCCTTACCCACACATGCATTACTGCATAACTTGACTGTTGACAGCGCGGTATTCTAGATAAGATAACACCTACACTGAAAGATTGTCTGGGTTTTTAAAAGTCAACTGTACTTACTTTTGTAGTTCAATGTACAGCGCATTGTTGTGCGGCCAAGCAACTTCATGTCGACCACGCTTTGTGATTGGAAGCTAAAAGGATTATCCCCTTAAAAGTAGGTACTTCTGTCATTCTGTAAAATCTCTTACATGAAACTGTGAACTAAATTACGGATAGGTTGATCATGTTCCAAAGTACCTTTACACTGTTAATGGCGAGTACCTGACCCCAGGCCTCAGTGAACTTACTGACAACTGGAGGGTGAGTGAATGCAGATAACATAGTGTCGTACGTCGTTTCAGTGCGTTTTAGAGTTGGGTTTTGAACAATACTTCATCTATATCATGGCGTGTCACCTTGATTTGGAAGGAAAGCCTAGAGTGATGCAGATTGGGTGCCTTTCCCACTTTACTGAAACCCACGAGCAGGGGTATAGTACTGACAAACCTAGGAACAGGGTGAAACATTCATCGCGTGAAGGATGCATCACTGTACAATTTAGTGCGGCGCCTTAAAAGATTGGGTTTGTATGTTGGGGTGTTTTACACTCACATTGGTAAATATCATTTTGCCACGGAAGAAGTGAGAGTATTCCGTTTCATAAAACAACTGTGTCGGCCGATGGTCATAATATCGATCACTGGGTACTGTGACCCAGACTCGTTTATTCACAGGATGATATATCTGGCATATAGCCAGGATTTACACGTTTTCTGGAACAAACCCGTTAACTTCACCTATTATGATTATTATCAATAAAACTGGTGGTGGTGCTGACGAATGTGAGACACATCAGACTGTTAGGTGACTGATATCTTTTCGAAATTTGTAAATTTCATACCACAAATCGACACATTGAAACTCTGTCTTGAAATGATAATTTCTCGATGTATATATAGACTGGCAACGCCAATACTCGAACATATGGATTTTCGAGGATTGCATATTTCCGCTGTCAAAAGGATCACCAGTCTGCGTAACCACACACGCCGATACCTGTAAAACGGCAAACCTTTCACAAAGAAGCTGATATCAAACGTAGTTTTCTATAAATCCAGGTAGGGACGAAACTGAAATACAATACTCATCGAAAGGTCAATTACTATCAAACCATACACAAGTCAAATGCGGATAGATTTGGCTCTGTTACCTGTGAAATCAAGCGTTCCTCTTCTTGTACACAAATATAAAACTTCAACACCCTAGAGTAATCATTCTCGTTTATCCGACGCAGTAGATTCCTTTGGGCGTAAAAGGAAAAATAGCGTTAAATATTATATGAGTGAGTGAGTGAGTTAGGTTTAACGCCGCTTTTAACAGTATTCCAGTTATATCGCGGCGTGTCAGCTTAATGTGGGAGGAAAGCCCGAAGTGATGCAGGTCTCAAACGTTTACCACTTCGGTGAAACCCACGAGCACGGGTATGGTGCTGACAAACCTAGAAACATAATCGGGTCGAACCGGGATTCGAACCAAATATTATATGAATGGATCAGTGAAAAGTTCAGCCGTTATTGCAGTTTTGTCACTGGGCTTTCCGAACCCTTCTAGTGCAATGAAGGAGATTCCCCTCAATCACGTCTGAACCCCTAGATAGTGCATATACTTATTTGGTTGAAAGTAATAAAAGGTATATGTTAATTTTGAATTACACCTGATGTGTACAGGTGCTGAAATTCTGCTTTTAGAAGTAAAGGTTGGTTGGTTGGTTGGTTGGTTTGTTGTTTAACGCCGCACTCAGCAATATTCCAGCTATATGACGGCGGTCTGTAAATAATCGAGTCTTGACAAGACAATCCAGTGATTGACATCATGAGCATCTAGCAATTAGGATCGATGACATGCTTCAACCAAGTCAGCGGGCCTGACCATCCGATCCCGTTAGTCGCCTTTTACGACAAGTATAGTCGCCTTTTACGGCAAGCATTGGTTGCTGAAGACCTATACTAACCCGGAATCTTCACGGGCCAGAAGTAAAGGACAACGTTTCAGAAATATATTTGTTTTGCAACACAATAGGGGACAGTAGAGTCACATTTATTGATTACGTTCACTGCACTCGAAGTGTCAATAGATTACCAGTACAATGATTAATATATTTTCGTTGTTGTAAATTTTCTTAAAAACATTTTTTTAATTGACACCTCAGTCTTGTCACAGATTGTAAAGTAGTTGTTCGTGTAGAAGGTTCCCACTCTACGCTGACAACCTTTGAAACGTTTTATGACAGCATGGTATTCCAGAAACGACAACACTTATCTTGTCTGGGTTTATACAGGTCAAGTGTATCTATTTTAATGCGCAGCTCATTTTTGTGCCAAGCAACTGATCCAACAATCCTTGTCCACCATGCGGTGTGATTGGAAGCTAAAAGGATGATCCCTTTAAAAGTAGGTACATCTGTCATTCTGTAAAATCTCTCAACGAATAGGTTGATCATATTCCAAAGTACCTTTACACTGTTAATGGCGAGTACCTGACCCCGGGCCTCAGTGAACTTACTGAAATTTTCTGGCGGGTGAGTGAATGCAGATAATATGTGTCGTCCGTCGTTCCAGTGCGTGTTAGAGTTGGGTTTTGAACAATGCTTCAATTATATCATGGTGTGTCAGCTTGATCTGTGAGGAAAGCCCAGAGTGATGCAGATTGTGTGCCTGTCCCACTTTGGTGAAACCCACGAGCAGAGGTATAGTACTGACAAGCCTAGAAACAGGGTGAAACAATCATTGCGTGAGGGATGCATCTCTGTACAATGAAGTGCGGCGCCTTAAAAGACTTGGTTTGTATTTTGGTATGTTTTTCACCATTATTTTGGCTCGTGAGAAGTGTGAGTATTCGGAACTGTATCAGACGATGGTCATGATATCGATCACTGGGAATCTGGATTATTTACAGGCTGATATTTCTGGCATAATAGCCGGGATCTTACGTTTACAAATTTTTGTAGAACAAACATGTTCGGTATATTTTAGAACGTGTCCCTTGCTGCTGTTGGGGCTGAATTAATGCCACAAAAAAAATCACCCCAAACGGATAGAATATTTCTCTTTTTAGTTTAATGCCGTACTCAACAATATTGTGCTATATGGCGACAACCTGTGATCGATATCATGAGAAACGATCCACACCTTGGGGTTCGATGACACGCAAACAAATCAGATATTGATCAAGATCCCTAGAAAAGTATAGGAACTGGCAATTTTTACATAATTGTTTAGTTGTGATTAGGACTTTGAATCGAATTTCCATCTGCAGCTAGAGTAAATCCTGTGCTTTTGTATTTTTAATATTATAGCTCTTTAACTTTGGAGGCAGCTTATTTTAATCATGGTGCGTCACGTGACTAAAAGGAATCTGTCCTAAAATTCGAATCAGACGAACGTTACAGAACTCTCATTTTGTTTGTCCTTGCGGAAAAATAATAAGTAATAATTAATAATTATAAAATAAGTAGTGTGTTTCGGACTTTAGAACCGTCGGAATGTGATGACGATAATATCACCGCTACAGTGTAATTCATTAGTTAAACTTATTGTTACTATCTTATATAACCAATACATAATATACACGACTGCGTCGATCAGTGCTTAAGAAGGTCATCTAATCTTAGAATAATCTGAGGGGCGGTCGGGTAGCCTAGTGGTTAAAGCGTTCGCTCGTCACGCCGAAGACCCGGGTTCGATTCCCGACATGGGTACAATGTGTGAAGCCCATTTCTGGTGTCCCCCGCCGTGATATTGCTGGAATATTGCTATAAGCGGCGTAAAACACTCACTCACTCACTCACTAGAATAATCTGAGCGACCTGAAGAGTGATTTGGCTATTACGGTGCAGGTGAGGAGACACTGCTAATAACTTACATGTAGTCAAGGCTCAACATGTGAAAAACAACAGAGGTCAAGGTGAGGTGAGGTGAAATGGGGTTTAACGTCGCGTCCAAGATTATTGCACTTATATGTCAGTATGTGTGTGTGTGGCTGCTGGTACTTGTCCGGGCTGATGCCGATTTATAGTGCTAGCTCACTGAGATACCATGCCGCAGTTTAACATGAATACCCCACTCAGACACAGTATACTGACTCCGAGCCGACCAGTCCTTGTTTAAGCCCCTTAATGCCGAGCACCAGACAGGGTAACAACAAGTACCATCTTTTAACGTATTTTGGTATGACGCGGCTGGGGATCGAACCCCGGACCTTCCGCTCCCCGCTTTACCATTAGACCACGGAGGCGGTTCTTCATTATATGACAATCGTACAACTTAATAATCATACAACCATACATATTTAAAAAAACAAAGTTATAGATATGGGTTCTTTTTTTATTTTTGGAATATACATATATACATACATATATCAAAATGATGAAGGACGTGCAAACCATTAGTCGGGAAACACGTACGATTCGAAAAAAAACACCCAGTGCATTATCAAAAGAGCCATGGAGCTGCACTCACTGCACGTGCAGCAGCAATATACACGCCGGTATTATATGTTATATGTAAACGGTATTTTAAAGTGCAGGGTTTTTGATTGCCTGACATCTGCGTCAATCGAACAGTGACAGTTCAACAACATGCCAAGATTAACAGAAGTGCAAAGAAACAACGTCATAGGCCGCTTGCAGGCAGTGGAATCCCGATCAGCCAGGGTTTTTAATGTAGCGACTAGCACCATCACAAGGCCATGGGATCGGTTTCAACAGCATGGGTCAACACGTGATCGGCCAAGGTCGGAACGACCAAGAGTAACCAACACCGCCCAATATCGCTACGACTGCATTGGTGTCGTCAACACAGGGTATGGCCTCAACTGCGATTGAGAGATGTCTGCTTCAGCGACGAATCAAGATTTCTCCTCCGTCGGGGGGATGGAAGAGCACGGGTCTACAGCCGTCGGGGAGACAGTTACGCCGGAAACTGCATACGGGAAGTGGACAGGTTTGGTGGGGGTAGCGTTATGTTGTGGGCGGATATCTCTCATCATGGCAGGAATCGGTTTGGTCCATACCCATGGCAATCTTACGGCTCAACCATATTCTCCTACCACACGTTCTCCTATTTGCAGCCAACAGCAACGGTGTATTCCAGCAGGACAACGCTCGACCCCTGGTCGAGCCTGTCTACAACAACGTTGATGTTTTCCCCTGGCCCTCCAGATCCACGGATTTAAACCCGATAGAGCACATGTGGGATGAATTGGATAGACGGCTACGCCGACGTCAACCACAACCCCAGACGTCGCATACTCGTCTCTTCCATGTGCAGGAGATGTCAGGCCGCTATCGATTCCAACGACAAGACTTTGGTTTTTTCCCACTGTCTCAACATTAATGATTCGCAAGATCATCGGCATTACATAGTTGCATTTTCCCAGTTGCAAGATAACGCAGCATGACAGCTATTTCCATCTCCTGGGTGACAGCATTGTTTCTTTGTGTAAGCCTATCACTGTGAAGATCCGGGGTAGAATAGGTCTTCAGCAACCAAAGCTTGCCGTAAAAGGCGACTATCGGGATCGGGTGGTCAGGCTCGCCGACTTGGTTGATGCATGTCATCGATCCCAATTGCGTGGATCGATGTTCATGATGTAAATCACTGGATTGTCTGGTCCAGACTCGATTATTTACAGACCGCCGTTATATTGCTGAGTGCGGCGTTAAACAATAAACAAACAAAACAAACAAACTAATTAAATTCGTCACAAATAATATACCTGCACTGTCAAGACGAAACCGCTGGATAAGTTCTGTGTCTGAATACACACTGAAAATGTTTTTTCTTGGCCTGAAAGTACTCAGTTGATGCTGCTGCGGTGGCCCAGCAGCCGCCATATTATATACTAAGGAAAAGTCTTAAGTAACTAAGTTCTTTAGGAGTACCCTTACTGCTGAAATTTTTTATGAATATGACTTAGGACAATTCTTAGATTTAAGAGTAACTTTTAGTATTTCATAGAATTTTCTCAGACTTAAGACCTCTTTAGCACTCGAAGAATTTTATGAATACCGACCCTGATAAACAATTTTTTCATTAAAAAAATAATGGATGTTTCTTTTTCATTTAAACAAATAATGGTATATTTTTTTAAACAATAGATTGACGTCACAGATGTGTTTTAATGATTGATAAACCTAGATTTAAAGTTAGCATACAATGCGATTGTATCATGTCAAGCTTTCTCTGATTTGCCGATTAACTCAAGGTAACCTGTTGTTATGACATACCTAGCATGGCATACGTGTGTGATCACTATAGTACATGAGGCTACCGGTCACGTCAAAATGTACAATGCTATTGATTCAGTTCAAAGCGACTGTCGCAGTCAAAACGACTGTGCATATTTGTATTTACGCTCTATCACCTGAGTAGAAATTCTTATCAAAATAATCATCACCGGGTGCTTTTCAATAGAAGTGAGTAGACATTGATGCACACCTATTAAAATGGACCCGTGAAGATTCCGGGGTAGAATAGGTCTTCAGCAACCCATGCTTGCCGTAAAAGGCGACTATGCTTGTCGTAAAAGGCGACTGACGGGATAGGGTGGTCAGGCTGGCTGACTTGGTTGATACATGTCATCGATCCCAATTGCGTGGATCGATGTTCATGATATCAATCACTGGATTGTCTGGTCCAGACTCAATTATTTACAGACCGCCGTGATATAGCTGGAATATTGCTGAGTGCAGCGTTAAACAACAAACCAACCAACCAACCTTATGGCGACACTATCAAATGTATTAGCCAATGCATTGGAAGTGGAATTGGTATGGAGTTCGTTTGAGGCGCAGAACCAACAAACCACTCGCAATTATGATTGACATAAACAGACACACCCAGCGCGCACAACCACACATACACAAATAACATGGCTCACAATACCAAGGCTCGAATATTTACAGGCCGTCGTCGTATAGCTGGGGCACTGCTGAAAGTGACGTTAACAACAAACAAACAAACACAAACGGGTATGCAGGATGTACAAATGTTATAGAACACATGTCACAGTTAAGCATGTGATCACTCGGCAAATAAACCTGTTTTTCACTTGCTAAATATAGCGCCAACAACCGTTCAGTCAACACAGTATTATCCGTTACGTGATGCGTCTTTCTCGAGAGACTCTGTTTTCTAGGAAAGCCGGAGAAGAGTATGTGGGGCACCTGTATTGAAGCCCATACACTGTGGTATTTCATATCATCTGTGTTAGTCCCCTTTTGATGGATGTTTAATACATGGTGTCTTCCCGCACAGACACAGTGTTAAAGCATGGAGGCCCCGGCCGTCCCACTCCAGGACATGCAGTGCTGGCGTGTATAGGCATGCGCCTGCTCTTTATAACTGTGGTGGTGATCGTGGCGGAAGGTACGTGATTGGGGGGGGGGGGGGGGGGGCAATATTCAAACTAGGTCATAGCAGATTAGTGCTTCGTATCGCTCCATTGAAGTCTACTGGATGGGGTTAATTTTAAGATTAGTGAATTTCGGGACATTCAAGAGTGCGGAATGTTCAGAGTAGTGCATATTCATTCATTCATCCATTCATCTATCAATTCATTCATTCATTCATTCATTCACCCATTGCTAAAGGGGCACTGTCCTTGTATACTGGTAATGTATTTCATCTCAGCGGTTCTACAGCAAGAACTAGAACAACTATTACAGAAATCCTATGCTGTAAATAAAAATGACCCGTGAAGATCTGGGGTAGAATAGGTCTTTAGCAGCCCATGTTTGCCGTAAAAGGCGACTATGCTTGTCGTAAGAGGCGACTAACGGGATCGGGTAGTCAGGCTCGCTGACTTGGTTGATGCATGTGATTGGTCCCAACTGGGTGGATCGATGCTCTTGATATCAATCACTGGATTATCTGGTCCAGACTCCATAGCTGGAATATTGCTGAGTGAACAACAAACAAAACTCCTATGCTTTAAATAGCTATTGTTTCCCTCTACAGGTGCAGGTTTACAACTACATAGCCGACAACTATCGGTCTCTTTATGGCAGATTAACTGCACACTGGATAAGGTGTTTTCTCCTGGCGACACGATGAATATCCTAGGGCCACCTTCGAATATATCGATGATCTTCTGTAAGTTTCCCTTACAATGCCTAGATGATTTTGTAAACGTCTCGTGGGGGCCACAGAATAAAACTTTCTCCATGGACTTCACACCCAAGAGCAGTGGTCTGTACGTATGCGTTTACAATGAGGAGCATGGAGCTATCGCTACGGGCGAGATTCATATGGTAGACCCAGCAGGTACGTTAGCAATCTACATAGACTGGTAGAACATACAGCATTGCTTTCTTTAATTGTTTAATAACCGACAAGCGAAAAATTGTCATTACTCTCAAGGTAACATGTCAGTCCACGAGATAAGATGGTTGCTTGGTTGGCTGTTTTTTTTAACGCCGCACTACATAATAAGAATGGAGCATTATTTAATATGAAGTGAGTGCCCCATCGATTTTACACTTTTCTTGGGCCCATACTGTTACGAAGTTTTCAAGCAGCTTTCAAATATTTACGCTTTCAAAAAAATGTAATGTCTGGCTGATGACATGTACTTTTTGCATCTTGTGAAACATTCATGAATTTAAAAAAAATTAAATAGAAAATATCATGTATATGCTATTACTGCCATGCCGTTACCATATTAAAATTATATACTTCCTACATCTTTCGGAACATTCATTGTTGTAAATGGATTAAATAATAAATTGTCATACACTATTACTGCCCATAGTATTACCATATTAAAAGTATGAACTTTCTTCATGTTATGGAGCGGTCATTCGTGCAAATATGTTCAATAAAAAACATTCATACACATATAAAATGTCTGGTTCGGTGTTTACCGTATCGCTCACCGTCATATAGCTGGAACATTGCTGAGTGCGGCGTTAAACAACAAACCAACCAACTAGTCAGGCCATGGTCATATAGCTGGAATATTTCTTTACGTTAAACAACAAACAATGTTATATTATGTACGTACAGAACACGCAAATCATGTATATTGTACGTATTTTCAAACAAGGATGGTTTAGGTTTGAGGAGATTTTTTTATTATATACTTCTGTGTGAAAGACTGAGTTTTCTGAAGTTGAGAAAAGTGATATTTCACTGCAGTGAACATAACACTTGATATTTCACTGCAGTGAACATAACACTTGATATTTCATTGCAGTGAACATAACACTTGATATTTCATTGCAGTGACCATAACACTTGATATTTCACTGCAGTGAACATAACACTTGATATTTCATTGCAGTGAACATAACACTTGATATTTCATTGCAGTGAACATAACACTTGATATTTCATTGCAGTGAACATAACACTTGATATTTCACTGCAGTAGTCATAACACTTGATATATTTAACTGCAGTTGAACATACACTTTGACGGAACTATTGTCATACAAGAGTTACCTACCTCAAATTGTCTCCCTTATCGTAGCCTGTACACAAACAGTTGACCTCCTTTTTACGTGAGTTCCACATTGAGTAGGCAACATAATGACAGATGGTAATTTACGGAGTTAAAATCACTTCTTGACGTTTGTTATAAACTGTAAATTTCTCATTTAACTCAATCGAGACTGTTGTTTCCCAAAACGCCAATTTTGTTGACCAGCGCGTATTACTTCGTTTCCAACAGCGGTCTCGTAGCTTTCAAAAATATATTTCGAAGATGATTTTTCATATAATTATATCCAAATGTGTGATAAAGAATTTTCGTGACCCTAAATATTTTAGGAGACTTGATTGTATTTCTATATATTTTGCAAACCTGTAACTATTTCTAAAGTCGGGTGGAAAAACGTCCCTGCGCGTAAGGTAGTGAGTATTTACGTTTCAAGATTTTACATTTGAAATTTTAAAAATCCGGTAGAAAACTACACAAAAAAAGTATATAAAAAATAGGATATTCCATGTGCCTCGTGAAATATCGAGTGACAGGAGAAAGAAGATATTTTTGCGTAGTCACTCACATCTCCTTCCCCTCGTCACTCGAAACATGAACTATCCTCTATAACTTCACACTATGAAAATAAACAAATCAGTACACACAACTGTACCTAAAGAACTTTGTATAACTTTAAAACCGACGACGTCCGCGTACACAGAATCCAGTATAACAGTTGAACACTACAATACAACAGAAACGCCACCAGCAATAGACGATGGTAAGGACATACACGAGTACGGACTATTGGCTGACTTCAGTCAAGGTGGATGTTGCCTCTACCTATACGTCGTTGTTTGTAGTTACAGAGACCACCACCAACCTCCCTGAAGCCACCAGTACTGACCTTGAAGCTGATACATCAACCGGGAAAGATGACGGTACTCACATACTGAGTCTATAGATAGGTCACATTTGTTTATCTTGTTCACGTCACGAAATTCTAAGCAGTTGCGTCCCTCATCGATAACCATCTTCCTGAGGTAAGAGAGTTAACTGACTTTAAAAGTCCAGTTTCCATCCTTGCCGAACTTGGCTGGAATTACTGGGCTCGATCGTAGCGCCACCAGTGGCTATTACCAGTTATGTCCCTTCTACGCCTCTCCTCTGGACCAATCAGATTCCACCTCTCGTATCACTTGCGTTTGCTTCACATAAAATGGTGGCGCCCGGTCAGGACGATCTGATCGATAATCAAAATCTATATTGTGATAAAACGGGTCTTACATCGCGAAATACATCAAATCACGTGAGCACCTTCATTAAAAACATGAAAAGATTTGGAAAATATCTGCTGACAACGAGTTGGCGGTGCACATGCTTTGCAAATCTTGCAATTGACTGACATCTGCACGACAGTTTACGAACCGGATTTCGATTTCGGTGAGCGATTTTGATTGGACTATGCATAGACTCGTTAGTCCAGTCAAAAAGTAAGTCCAAAATACCAGCCTAGTTCGGCAAGGGTGGAAACTGGACTTTTATAGTCAGTTAACTCCCTTGCCTCGGGAAGATGATCGGTAACAGGATCCGCTGCTTGGATCTTCGATTGATTGTCTGTCAGCACAATACCCGTGCTCTTAGGTTTCACCAAAGTATCCTTTGGTTTAATCCAATATTAATGTCAAACGTGAAAGGACCTAAATGCTGTTCTAAGCGAATGTATACCAAACTCACTCACTCATGACTGAGCGTTTGGATTGTTAAGGATAATGAGAAATCGAGACCTAGATTAGTCAAAAAGGACATGTGTGTATAACCATACGTTCATACATGCATCTCAATATTGCATCAAAGGACCTGTGAAAATCCGGGGTCCAATATGTCTTCAGCCAGACACCATTTGCAATACAGTGGGGGCGGCCGGGTAGCCTCGTGGTTAAAGCGTTCGCTCGTCATGCTGAAGACCCGGGTTCGATTCCCGACATGGGTAAATGTGTGAAGCCCATTTCTGGTGTCCCCCGTGATATTGCTGGAATATTGCTAAAAGCGGCGTAAAACCATACTCACTCACTCACTGCAATATATTGATGGTCGTACAGAAGCCAGTGTTTTTTTTGCAAAGGTTAACACTTTTCATGTTTTGCTTAGAATTGTAAAACGCGATTTTGTTAAAGAATCAAATGAATCAAATCAACTATTTGTTGTTGCAACTAAAGAGTGAGTGAGTATGATTTTACGACGGGTTTAGCAATATTCCAGCAATATTACGGCGGGGACAACAGAAATGGACTTTACACATCATACCCATATCGGGAATCGAACCCGGGTCCTCGACGTGACGAACGAACGAACGCTTTAACCATTAGGCTACCCGACCGTCCCTGTAACTAGAGATGGGCTGTAAGTGAGGTGAGAGGGCAAAGTTATTGTGTGACCTGATGCAAATAACGGTTGAGGGCCATCCACTTCAGTACACGCTTGGGTATAATGTCATCGAGTCTCCATAATCTCATCCCTAATAAATAACATATTTGCTCAAAATGAATCAGTGACACACTTTCTACGTGTATCACCATGTCGCCATGACCGATAGGTTTAATATTGCTGTGGCTCTAAACAACATTCCTCTCGCGTTCTGTTTCAGTGACATCCGGAAGCGGCTTCATCGACGCATTTGGCATTTTGGTCACGTTGTCTTTATCTCACCGTCTACTCTGTGCATGACCGCAGACTAACAGCCCAAGAATCAACTGTTTGTAGATGTTGATATGCATGTTGAACCAAGTGAATGTCCACATACGTACGTTACAGTTACTCTGAATTCACAAATGTACAGCATGTTGGATTTTAAGTGCTCACAAACCCAAATGCATTTGTGAGAATTCATTTATATTTAATTACACTAGTCAGCTAAATTGTTATCTTTCAGGTGACGGATCAAAATACTCGGCCACTGTCGAGACAAGCTCACTAAAATCACCAGTGATATGGTGACTTAAATGTCTGCTCTCTTAAATTTTTGCCATAGGAATTTGTACATGAGAATCGAGAAGATTCGATACATATTTCTGGCACACTTAGAGACACAGCCATATTATCACCTTGGCCCACTTGCACAAAGTGATCTTAGCAGTAAAACTATGGTAAGGCTATATTAAAGTATGGGAGTTACGATCATCTTAGCGCTAAAATCGCTTTAAGCAAGTGGGCCGTGGTCTTCCATTCTGTATTTGTTTCCTGTACTGTGTTTGGATGATTTACCGAGGTTATAATGCTAAAATCACATACGACGACGGACCCGTGAAGATCCGGGGTACAATAGGTCTTCAGCAACCCATGCTTGCCGTAAAAGGCGACGAACGGGATCGGATCAGGCTCGCTGACTTGGTTGATGCATTTCATCGTACCCCAATTGCGTGGATAGATGCTCATGATGTCAGTCACTGGATTGTCTGGTCCAGACTCGATTAATTTACAGACCGCCGTCATATAGTTGGAGCATTGCTGAGTGCGGCGTTAAACAACAAACAAACAAACAAACATACAAACAAAAACATACGACGACGATGGCAGTGTAGTAACACTGCATGAGCGATAGTATAGTAACGTACGGAAATAACCTTGCCACAACATTGAATTGTATGGGGGTTTTAATGTTGCTCTAACATTTTCTCGGACCGTCTTCTTGGTTTAGTGCCATCGGGCACGTTTAACCTCATTTCCCCCCACCACCAACGTTTTCTCAGTTACCAAATCCCTGCAACGTTCCTACAACACTGCATTATTATTGACTTTAATACATGATTCAGATGCTTGTCCTTTATTCGGAGCACTTCTTGGCGGCTGATATTTGTTTTCATAAGTTCGTGCCAAATCAGTTACCTCATAATCTATTTTTTTAAATCTTTGATTCCAAAATCAGCCCAATTCTACTGTATGGCTCTGAGGTTTGGGGTGTTCATAATTACGAAGAAATAGAGGTTGTACAAATGTTTGCCTGTAAGAGATTGTTATGTGTTAAGCAGTCATCCGCAAATCACGATGTTAGAGGAGAATTCGGAAGATACCCAATGTACATATTTGCATTTAAACGTATTGTTAAGTATTGGTGGAAAATAATTAATATGCCTTAACCACGTTTGGTAAAGAGATGTTACAACTTATTATTGTTAGACTGTACATGTAGTAATGGTATAACTGGGCATCAAAAGTAAAACACATCCTATTCTCTACCAGTTTGGGTTACATATGGGACTAACAATTTATAAGTAATATCTCCTGCTTTCTGTCGGAATTTATGGTCCGTCTAAAAGTATCTTATGAACAAAATTGGCACGCAGCTCTTTCATCAAGCTCAAAATCAACTCTTTACAGTTTATTCAATACAAATTTCGGCTTAGAAACATGTTTAAAAGAATTATCAATTTTTAAATATAGGCGTGCCCTTGCGCAATTTAGATGTTGTTCCCACCAGCTCCGAATTGAGACTGGGAGGTATAAAAAAAAAAGTTAAAATGTTAAAGGTTGTGTCTGGCTTGCAATAAAAATCAAATTGAAGATGAATTTCATTTTATAATAATTTGTGATCGATATGTACATTTAAGACGAAAATATATACCCAAAAAGTTTTACCTGTACGCCTCCATACATACGTTTAATATCTTAATGGCATCAAATAATGTAATGATCATTCAAAATCTATCCGTATTCATTTACAAAGCAATGAAACTACGTCTTGTGTAAATCACTTAAATTTTGTATTATAATGTTTCTCTCTCACTGTATACTCTGTAATGTATAATGGGCCTGTGGCCTACAATACATAATGAATAAAGACTATATATTCAGGAGTATAACATGAACAGTTGTATGTGACATTAAACCGCTTTCCACACCCGTCTTCCACTTGACTATGTGTAGCATATTGCTTATGTATATCCGTAATTGATAGTCGTCGTTCAAGAAAAAAATGTTACTGAGTATGTACACAATATTTGGGAGGTTGTCCTTTCTGCTCTTCTCCGACCACCTGTGGTGTTTTCGATACTGCATCTGACCAGAGCGTGAAAGATCGCTGGTTCGATTCTCTGGCCACGTCATACCAAAAGACGTTAAACGATGGTTCTCCTTCTTACGTTCTACGTTCAGCATTAAGAGGAATAAACAAGGACCAGACGGTTCGGTTTTAGTGTACTTACCGTGTCTGAGTGGGGCTTATGTGTTAGTGGTGTAACGATACATCGAACTATTGATTGATTGCGATTGCTTGTCTCACGATAGTACACTATCGATTGCAACTTGAAACAATCGATATTATTGGCGATAGTTTGTCTAACTATCGAAAGTTTCGATGGTTTATTTGTTAGGTACATTTACTTTCTTAAAAAACATAGAAACAACGCCTATGATCATCTAACCTCTATCGTGCATTCGTTTGGATTGCACTACCTTGTCTGCTTGACTTAGAGTTACGTCCCTTAACTACTCGTAGCTAGGCAACAAGATGGCGGACGCCACATGTCAGTTTTTGTCAACTTTGTTTCTTAATTGATATGTTGAATCGCATTTAGTCATTCAGTGAATGCCAATGTGACAATTAAAGAGTTTGACAGTTTGTATAGTCAAATATATATATATACTAGTCATTCAATCACATTCATTCACATTGGTACTAAAACACTGCAGTAACCTAAGACTTTACCAGTTACATGAAGTGAAATTTTGGATTAAAATGTTTTTGAGAGGTCAATTGGAACTTGTTTTCTTCTCATTACTTGTTTTCTTTACAAATAGTATCAGAAAGTTATAATTATTTTTATGGTGTCAGTCAAAATGCTGAAATATATGCTGCTGAGGCCTGCTATAATTGCAAGTGAAAACTATCGCAATAGTAGGGCCACTATCGCAATAGTTTCGCAATAGTTGTTTCAACTATCGCAAGAGTATCGCAATAGTCAAAAATGCCTCAATAGTCACCCCTATTATGTGTTAACTTGCGGCAGGGGCAGGTGGGATAACACAAGAGGTCCTGACTACTACAAGCAGAGGTGAGGTGAAATTGGGTTTAACGTCGCGTCCAAGATTATTGCACTTATATAGCGACGTGCATGCACGTGTATGTGTGTGTGTGGGGCTGCTTATACTAGTCCGGACTGATGCCGATTTATAGTGCTAGCTCACTGAGATACCATGCCGCAGTTTAACATGAATACCCCACTCAGACACAGTATACTGACTCCGAGCCGACCAGTCCTTGTTTTAGCCCCTTAATGCCGAGCGCCAGACAGGGTAACAACAAGTACAATCTTTTAACGTCTTTTTGTATGACGCGGCCCGGGATCGAACCCTGGACCTCCCGCTCTCCGGGCGGACGCTCTACCACAAGACCACGGAGGCGGTCACTACAAGCAGAAACACACACACAAATATATGCACATCGCTATGCAATTGTCTTGAACCTGTTCAAACGCATTTCACATCACCTCTGCTCTTCTCAAGTGAGTGAGTGAGTATGGTTTTACGCCGCTTTTGGCAATATTCCATCAATATCACGGCGGGGGGACACCAGAAATGGGCTTCACACATTGTACCCATGTCGGGAATCGAAACCGGGTCTTCGGCGTAACCACTAGGCTACCCGACCGTCCCTGCTCTTCTTAAGACATCTTGCAGGAGTTTTGATATGTCCATATAAAAGATAACCAGTTCACAATGTTCATATTTGGGCCTAAATACTGGAATACAGTGCTTGATTCATTCTTCAATGTGTTTTCTGTCTTTCCTCACCTCTCCCATGCTGCAGAAGGTGTCATTCTCGCCCATCACAACACAAGGCAGGCTGCATGTGGAGGAGTCTCAGTACAGTTAAAGACCCCTGAAGATCCGGGGTAGAATAGGTCGTCAGCAACCCCTGCTTGCCTAAAAAGGCAAATATGCTTCTCGTAAGAAGCAAGATACGGAATCGGGTGATCGGGCTCGTTGACTTGGTTGTTGCATGTCATCGTATCCCATTTGCGTGAATCGATGCTAATGATATCAGTCACTGGGCTGTCTGGTCCAGACTTGATTAATTACAGACCGCCGTCATTTAGCAGCGTTAAACAACAAAGAAAGAAAGAAAGATTATGGATTTGCTCATGAAATACTCGTATTGATGAGGATGGCCTTATTCCAGGCTGGTATTCTTTTTATGTACAATTATATACCTTCCGTGTTGCCAAAATAATGTTCTCTATACAATCGACTACCTTCTGATAGTGATACAAGTACACTAACAGCCAAATTACACCTTTATCTCACCTGATTAACTGAGGTCAAGAAATGTGACGAACAATTTCTCAGATATCATGGGACTTCCTGATAGAGTACACGTGTATAGTGTGATCGATACAACACACCAACCTGCACGCTTGTAATGGCTCGTTTTGACTAGCCCCGTTTTGACTAACCACCTGCATCCGATCCACAATCTTATTTCAACCCACTTTCTGCGGGAAACTGTGAGAGGTTTTTCGACGAACAAAGGAAAAAATGGAAATAACGTGTTAATATTGTAGGATAAATTTTATTTGTGATGTCAGACTCTTACAAACGTACACCAATGTTGTTCCAACATTCTAAATTATTACCCAGCTGTGAAACCATTCATGTGTCACAAAGAGAACATTGGTAGTGGGCAGCAAAACGTAATAAGTGTTACCTCCCTTGATAATGCGAAGGAGCCGGTGTCCCGGTATTAACTCTCCCCCGTACAAATTCTCCCCCCGGAGATTTTATACCGGTACAGATACTCCCCCGGAGAATCTGTTCTGAAATAAATCTCCCCCGGGCGGATATATTTCGCGCCCCCCTCAGTATAAAGTCTCCGCCCTGATTATTCGGTTTGTTGCAATGTCTTTAAGTACTATATTCTTTAAATAGTTATCTTTAATGTAAATAGGGTTACTTTAAAAAATAGATTATGAAATATGGTCATAATGAATTGATATTTCAGCATATTTTATTTGGTAACTGTACCTTCCATCCTAAAATAATTAAAAGACGTAATCATACCAAACAAATTTGAATGAAATGACTTAATGTAACAAATTCATGTACGGTTACTGTTGTAACTGAATTCAGAAATCTTATTAATCCTCGCAAACATTCGGTTTTAACACTAACTACGTAAAAACTGTCAACATATCCACGAGCGCCTCCAGCTCAGGCTGTCCGTTATACTCTGATTTAAGATCTAAAATATATTCCTTAATACAGGCTACGATTTGAAAATGGTATCAGTGTAATATCAGCGGCTAGAATATTATGGTGCAACCAGGTTTCTGTTAAACATACATCATAACTATCTAATACAGCACTGATTAAATCTACTTTGTCTTTGAGACTGCGTACGTTTAGATGTATCATCTTTAAATCTGG